GGATTGCACACAATTAGTAATGGGAATTCCAGAGAAACTTTGTTAAGGGCCAGTTTAGCGATTGATGGCTACAGGGCCGAGATGGCTTTACGCCCCTTCCTGTGTCAGAGGCGGAATTCCTCTGCATACCCGTGGCCAGGAACACTACCAACCACCTTTGTGACTAGCATCTACCATTTCTGCTGGTGAATATGTACGTCCTTACACTGAAATCCCTGCTTGGGTAGCAAAAGAGACATGGCCACGTCATTTCTGTTTTTCTACAGAAGGAAGGAAGAGCACTCACTTGCCAAACTAAGTAAGATTCTCTCCCTACACAGAAAAAGAAACCTACCATCCTTTATACTGAAGGTAACAAAAATTACCTGCCTTTTGTGACTGATAAAGATTAGCTGACTTCTCACATTAGAGAAGTTTGTCTTGTACGGGATGAAGTGACAAGACAATAACTAAGTGCTAATTGTGCATAACCAGCGCTAAAGATATGTAGCCCCATTACAGCATGCAATAAATGAAGCGAGCAACGAGAACGTATTAGGCACTTTTAATAATGACACTAGAACAGTGGTTTGGAGCAATGAGGATAGGAAAGGCTTTTGAGTTTCAATGCAAAATCGTGCGCAATTATTTCTTACTTGAATGGATTCTACTGGTAGGGTAAGGCTGACCTTATTTTGAATGCAGGCTCTTTAGTTCTGCACCAAAACAAGGCTGATGTATAGCAACTGTAAATGGCCCTGTAACTTCTAATTGCTTAGCATTATTACATAGTTTAAACAGTGGTTATTACTTGTCTGATATTTTAATTTTCTGCACAACGTGATGAAAAAGGTCAATTTGGCTTTGTTTTAGAATGTAATTGTAGAAAGCTATAATTATGGCAGCTGCACAATTCCAATTGCATGAGGGATGCTCAACTGTAAAAAAATAATTTTAAAAGTTAGCAACAAAGGAGAACAGCCTGGGCTGCTTCTCCCATCATTTTGCTCCCCACGTTAGGGTGGGGCACTCCATCTATTTGCGTCTGTGTCACTGCTGCGTGCTTCTAATATTAATTCTGTTCCATTTCCAAGCTAAGTCTTTCTTCTAAGTAGCTCATGTGGATTGGGATTTTTCTGGGGTCACCCGTTGGGAGGGATTGGTTAAACTTTCTTGTCCCCGTTTGTCTGTAGTCCTAATGAATATCTGCCAGTCCGACAGACAAAGATGCAAATTATGCATTTAGTGTAACAGGCATGCCTAAGCCTTCACAAATTACATTTTAGCGGCTTCTCAAGACCTGTCTTAACAGTGCAATCCTATGCATCTTCCTTCTGAAGCAAGACCGGCTGTCCTCAATGGGACTTAATCTCAGATAATTGAGAAAAGGGTTATAGTCTTAATAACGCACCAGGAGAAATGAAGAGGTGCTCTATAAAAATAGGGAATAGTGGTTTCCTGAGAGTTAGAACTACTCCTATGCTCAGTATTACACTAAGCCATCCTGTACAATTTCTGACTTCAGTCTAGCTTACTGGGCACCAGTAGCACTGCACAGCATGGCAGGGTTGAAGCACCCAGAGGTTTTCATGAGTAGGGACAATTCATCTGCCAGCCACCTCAGATTTCCCCATTACTTCCCAGTTCAGCAAGCAGTCCTCACATTACCCGGAGGAGAAACAAGTTTCCCAGCAACACCATATTCTTTGATGTTGTAATTCGCAGCATTCTGGGAAGGCCTGGTCTAGAATGGGTAACAAGAACGCACTGGATGTATAAAAGACCTGGTCTTGGTGGAGATAGAACATGCTTGGATGGGTTTGTTGATAAGGATCAATGTCCTGCATGAATTTCTGGACTCTCCTTGGAGACACAGCTATGAGACCTGCAAGTCAACACTCCAGCACTGCAAGCTGTGTATTCTGATCAGTCAGGTATTGGCAGCTCCCGTATTTTTGCAGGACAGTAGATTTACAGAGGGCTTGGTCAGCTGCCATGCGTGGCTTGCAGCCTATGTTCAGCTTGATGGATCTGCAGGTCCGGACTGGTCTTCTTGAGAAAAAATCCTACTCCACTGGTGAACTGAGTGAATGCTTGAGCTTACTTTGTGGCCTCAAGGGCCCCATGAAACTTGGGATGTGACAAATTTCTGGTGACTCCTGTTCTCCCAATATCCACTGGGACTCTTTTGTCTCTGCTGGCTCTATTGCATAACACGAAGACCCAAGACTTGTGCTATGAAGCTTTTGAAGATCAAAAAAGTAACTGAGTGACCCCATTTTGAAAACAACAGGGTCATTTTTAGAACCACCAAAGCACTGTTGCACAAGTGGTGGTTCTCTGCAAATGAAATAAGAATGATGTTGTAAGCCGCCCCAAGGCCTAGGCAAGGGGCGGCATAGAAATGTTTAAATAAATAAATAAATAAATAAAATATCATCCCACACGTTCAAGAAGCATCTCCAGCTCTTAAGTTGTACAACGCATAATGAGCGAGTAATTTGGACATAAGTTCCTCTTGCACTGTCATCTGGGCATTCCATGCTCTAAAGAGCCAGGTGCTGATCCCACACCAAGCTTCATGAAAAATGATAATCTAATTTTAAAAATTGCAAAGGGATCGAGAGTTTAATTTCCCAATGTAAGCAACACAGGCATGGCCATGCAAGACACTTCTGTACCTTAAACTTTTCATACAAGTATAATTAAGTCCTGCCTTTTCCATGTGTGCCTTTTGCTTTCCCATGCCTTTTAACTTAGGAAGTTGGTCACATCCCAAGCATTCCCATATGGAAATCCCTTTGAAGCAGAAAGTACTCTGCAACCAATGTGAATATGTAACAAAAGAAATTAGAAGATGTATTTATATGACCAATATTGAGAATCCAATCCTATACAAGTACAGGACCCAATCCTATAGGACTCAATAGGACCTATTTCTGGAATGTACAAGACATTTGTGTTTTTATTTTATATATATATGATTGTGTGGTTACCCAGGGGTTACATTCTGTTTCCTAGGCAAAAGTGATTCCTGCAGGGGAAAAATTAGCAATATACAATAAAGTTTTGTATTGCACGGCATGAATGAGCAGAGAAGGCAAGAAGTCTGCTAATGAATGGAAGCCTAACCAACATCCAAGCACACCTCCCTGCTCCACCAAGAAAGCTGAGAAACCAGCCCAGCTTACAGTTCCTTTTAAAGACGCCAAACTGCTCCTTACAAGATACTTGGCCTGAGAGATATAAAATACCTTTCCCCGGGATGGCTACAATATGCAGGCCACTCTCCTATCGGCTGGGTTATCTGTGCCTCAATTCACCTCTCTCTTTCCCCGTTTTTGTAATCTACTCCTCCTACATCCAGTCTGCCTGGAAATGTACCAAATTCATCACTGTCAAATGTCACTCAATCCCTTTCTTCATGGAATGGCTACATGAAGCCCCTTCTTCTCCCCTCTTCTGTATCAATGTCTCTGTAAATGCTGCCCAAACCTGATCCCCAGCCCCCATTTACTACCATTAAACACAAGACACATCTAGTTTGTTTCAGATGTCTTTTTGTCTTGCTGCTTGGAATGATCTCCTTCTCACCATGAAAGGGGGGTGCATTGTGTATTCGGTTGTATGGGTGGTAAAATGGCTGTACGTCCATTTACTACAACAGCCTCCCTAGGCAGGTATGATTAGCAGAGCTGTCCTTTATCCTGCTTGTTATTTTTAAATAAATTCACTAAAACTCAAGGTTTGATCCCCCCGCTCCTGGTCTCTTCCAGAAAAGTTCCTTTTTACTGTTTTTCAACTCCAAAAGTCCTTGGGCACACAGAAACATCTGATTACACATGTACATGTATCAAAGTCTCTGGCTTTTAAAAAACTGATAAAGTAGTAAAAACAAACAAACAAACAAACAAACACCATGATATGAAGATTTGCAGTCCAGTAATGTTTAAGCACAGATACCAAAATACAGCCCAGATTTAGCTTAACAGTTTTTCCAAAAGATGCTCCAGATAAAAAACCAAGCATATATGCAAAAGGAAGGGACATCCTCATGTAGGGATAGGCCAAATCAGGGAAATAAGGCTCATCTGAGCTCACCAGACAGCCTGCCCACTTCTGATCCTATGACTAGAAGTGGGTCATGACTGTTCACACCTCCCTCTGATCTCTAAGACACACATTTCTTAAACTGCTAATGAAATGTGCGCAGATAACCACCTGAAAGCCCATGGTTCTAGCGTGATTTGTGCAAACCTGGCTTATTTGTATAATCTTCAAAAATTCCGCACATGGTTTTCAGGTGCATATTTGCATGCTTTCCTTTAGCAATTTAAAGAATGCACCAATTTTGGTTCCTCTTACAGATGGATGTCCAACTTTCAGCATAGCAAGGGCTGACAAAGCAGAACCCCAGGGCTGACAAAGGGAATATGATAGACCGAATCATAAAAAATCCATTGGATGTTCACCCTGTGACAGAATCGTCAAATGGGACAGTCACAGGGGGCTCTCTTCAAGGTGCCCTTGGTGATCAGAGATGTTAGCAACATCAAGGGAGAGCTGTCATTTAAGCCTGATATGGCAGCTGCATTCAGTTGTAATGCTCAACGAATCCAATGCCTCTCCTAAGTCTCTGGCATGTGAGCTATCCCCTTCCGCAAAAATAAGAAGCTTTCGCTCCTTGTTTCCCCTTGGACTAGCATCGGATTCTAGTTTGCAAACAGTCCACCTAGGAACCAATGCAAATTGCTGTGTGTGAAGAGGGAAGGAAGCCACTGAACCTGTTGTAATGCTGCACTGCTGTTTAGCATTAGGGTGGAGCAGCAGAAGGGTGATGGGGCATCGAAAAACGCAGCGGTCCCCAACGTGAATTATGCCCAAGCCATTTTAGGTCATTATTGGGCAAAGCCACCTCTGCCCAGAGGATGAGAGCATGATCTTGTGCTCTGTACCATCCTATTCCAGGTCAGTGCCAAGTTGGCTTCTGTTCATGAAAGGTGACCAACGAACGCTCTTACCTCTGATTACAAAGTTGACATGCAAAGCAGTCCAGGTGATAAACATTGTCCTTGGCCCTCATCACCATTTCAAAAGCAGGAATGAGTTTGCTGCAGGCGGCACAGTTTCCTGTAACTCCAAATAACCTACAGGGAGGAAACACAAAGAAGGAGGGGAGAGAAGGTTGGCTTGGAAGAAAAAAGGTACAGTACAAAACAAACATACCTCCATTGTTTTCTTCTCCTAGAAGCAGAAAGCTGTATCTGATTTCTCAATGAGATTAATGTCTCTGGGTCAGACTGAAATGTAGCAACACTTAGGCTACTGGGGAGGGGGTGAGAAAGAGAGAAGCCCCCTCTCCTCTCTACTTATAGATGACCATTCAGCCATTGTAACTTTCGGAATCAAGGGGATACTTTAGGAAATATTGCAGTGCTTGGTTTTAATTCCTCAGAAGTCCAGTCCAGTCCTTCATGGTCTAGAGCAGCATTCTGCAAACTGTTGCCTTCCAGATGTGCTGACCACACTGGCCGAGAATGATGGGCGCTGCGACCAGCACACCTGGAGGGCATCTAAACCTTATTTGACGGGGTTGCGAAGGAGGAAGGATCCTGATTCTTGGGCTGTGCGGGGAGAAAAGAAAGGAAAAAACAACCTGAACTACATTAGCAATGCATCCGTCAATAGCATGGATGGGGTGGGTTTGTTTGAAAATGGTTCCTTGGATTTGGCAGTAAATATGGGACTCTGCTGTAAAACCTTGGCCCTAGTGCCATTTATTTATAACACACACGCTTTCCTATAAGAGGAAATAATACTTTGGTGCCAGCAGGGAGGGGAGGCTTCTATTCTAGTCATTTTTGACACCTAGTGCTAAAAGCTTTACCATTATTAAAGAACATTTTATGAAGAAGTCATTTAAAGCGTCAGAAAGCATTAGTGGTTCGTGCCCCTTACAACCCTACACCATGCTTATAGCTATGATTATGTTATTCAAGTAGCCTATTAAAGTAAATGAGGCAGTCAACTATATATATAGCCACATTAGGAGTGCAGGGATATTATACTGTAGGAACAATTTCAAATCTCTTCTGAAATGTTTTAACTTTGGTGTTAAAAATTTTCTCTTCCTAAAACAGATGCACATGTTCCGCCACTGCCTTCCCCAGACACGTCGTTCAACACTGTGTTTTCTTTCCCTCAGCTGGTATGTTACAAATAATAAAATATTCCTACACACATTTCGATGGAAGTTTAATTCTGAAATGGGAGGATTATAAACTTTGTTTTTTCGCTGAACACACTACCAGTCTTTGAAATGAACTTTAATGTAAAGCTACTTAATACATGCAAATGGATTTTTTTTAAAGCAGTGCTCTTTTCTCTGTATAGCAGTTAAAGCCATTTTCAAGTATGATAGAAAATAGATGAAAATGCCACATCTGCCGCTTCCCTTTTTGCTCTTCAACATCAGGCTGACAGCAGAAAAATATAATGGCTCTCCAGGGAAACACCAAATTAAAAGCAGTTCTAAGCTAATGAATTCAAAGGTGCTACAGTAGAAAACTTGGTCTGGCAACACACACAAGGAATGCAAACCTTCCCAGTTTGTAAAACTAAACCAGCTATGCCAGTAAGCTCACAGGACTCTGGTACTGGCGCAGTCTGCACATTTTGCATAATACACGTTGCTTGTTTATTTTTAAAGTTCTGAACCATTTTCTACTGATTGTCTGATATGCTGATTATTTTCTGTGTTTTTGTAAAGTTCAGAGAGAAAAACAAAACCAAAAACCCAAGGCTTAATCATCAGCTTCCCAGTGTTCATCAACTCCTGTTAGATTTATTATTCAAGCTCGTGTCAACTTCATTTTGCTAATTGTGAAGAGTGATGATTAAAATTAGGAATGCGTGTGTGCACACACATGCGACTGATTGTCTGTCCAGATTCCCTCTCTCAAAGAATCCATCCGGGCAATCTTCAGACATGATCTTGGTGAGTTTACTAGGTCGGAAACAAAATGGATCCGGCAAGAAGACACGAGGGCTGCTTCCCTACAGCAGGGCGTGCTGATGCTCCTGCTCGGAAAAGAAGCCAAACAAAAGACACTGCTTTTTGTTTTGCTCAATTCAGCCACACACATACACATTTGGAGCTTCTGGGTCCTTCAGGTGGCCATGCATCATACTTTACTGCGGGTGGTCCTCTGTTTGAAGGGTTGTCCTGCCCAAATCTTGTCTATGGCTAAAGGACCATCAAAAGGCAGAGAAGCACCAGTCTTGCCATTCGATCAGCAAGAAAAGGCAGGCAGGCCATCTGGTCACAGATCATGCAACCAGGATACCTACCCAGAGGGTTGGTTGTTACCTAACACAGAAACAGGACACACCTGCATATCACTGCACAGATGCATTGCACACTAGGGTGAATAAAAATCGATGATGATAATATTAATATTAATAAAGCATGGATTTTTTTGGATTGAAATGGGATTTTTAAATTTTAAATTGGATTTTTTAAAATAAAATGCTTTTTGAGGAAAAACCTATCATAGATTCCACTTAATATGTACTATAGTCCAGAGGTTATTCATCATGAAATAAGGATTAGTTTTTAATGATGTAGCATGAGGCTGTATATTCGTGCAATGTTTAAATTTTTTGGTAAATGAATTCCATTAATCCATTCACAATGTCATGCTCTTCCAGTGGTTTCTGTATGATTATTGGGCAAGTTTCCTACCTAGAAGATATTATCACTTGGTTTTGCAGTTCTCAAAACTGCAAAGTTGTGTCTGCAGAGATCACATGCCGCTTCTGCACAGCAAAAGTGCTATAAAATAAACATACTGAGTTAAGAAAAAGACTTTACTTTCACTGTTCTTTTGCAAATCTATGAACACAGAATCAACCCCTTACCTCTTAAGTGCTGCATTTCCAAAATCAATCAATCAATCAATCAATGAATAGAAGAAGACTGTTGGAAGTGGAACAGATCTGCACGAGAAGCTAAGTGTGAGGAGGTGGGGCAAGGAGGAAAAATGAAAGTGAAAGCTTTTGGGCAGAATACATCACAAGAAAAGATCCTTTGGATCACTTCAGATCTTTTTGTGTATTTCCTGAGGTTTATGCTATTATTCTTTTCCAGGAGAAGAAAATGTGTAACAGCAGTGGGCCGTAAAAGAGACCCAGTCCAGGAACATTTTAACAAAGTTCCTGTACGGATAAGACCTGCACGCATGCAAATTATGTGGAAACCCATGCTTTAAATCTAGTCTTACTGACTAGTGATTTAAATCAAATCCACCCTATTGTACAGTAAGGATGGGTGAGAATTTCACTTCAGTTAGGTTTTCCATAAGAATTTGTCAAAATTAGCCAAGTGTTTCTATCTGGGAGCAAAAATAACTATAACTTCAGTTTAAAAGAAATGGAATGTGAGGGAAACTGAAACTGTTCTTGATACACAGGAGAGGAAGAACTTGAGATTTTGAAAATCTGGTTGTCGGAGGAAATGGAATGGAAAGATCTGCTGATTCCAATCGTGTGTTGACCATGTATAGAGGAAGACAAGGGGTAGTTTGCATCACCTCACCTCAAAAGAAGTTAAAAGAGGCATATACCTGCATATGTATGGATGCAAATTTAGGAACTTATTAGCACAACTTAAATAAAAAGGTAAAGGTTTCCCCTTGACATTAAGTCCAGTCATGCCTGACTCTAGGGGGTAGTGCTCACCTCCATTTCCTAGCCGAGGGAGCCAGCGTTTGTCCGCAGACAGTCTCCGTGGTCATGTGGCCGGCATGACTAAACACCGAAGTGCACAGAACGCTGTTACCTGCCCACCAAAGTGGTACCTTTTCATCTATTTGCATTTGCATGCTTTCGAACTGCAAGGTTGGCAGGAGCTGGGACGGAGCAATGGGAACTCACCCCATTGTGCAGATTCGAACTGGTGACCTTTTGATCTACCAGCCCAGCAGCACAGCGGTTTAAACCACTGCGCCACCTGAAATATATTCACATTTGAGAAGACTGGCGATGACTAAGTCTCCTGATGCAGCAGTACAAGCCTATTGTTCTCCCTTCTTTTGGTCTTTACCTTTAAACCCAGATCTGGACTGCATAGCCTTTCAAACAGAGGACTGTCCAAGGACTGCAGAGGAAAATGGCCACCTTATCAGATGCCATTAAGAATTCTGATTCTATTCCAACCAAGGCCTAAAGTCTTCTCACAGACTTCCAAATACATGTCATGACTGAATATTATCACGACTTTTAGCTATAACATTAAAAACACCAAAATAAAACCCATCATCCAGACCAGACGAAAACTGACTTAATTTTTCCTGTGGTTCAAAACATTCCAGTGGAATGCCTTTCGCTCCAGCTTTGGTGGGTAAAACTTCAAGCCCTCTGGGAAAACACCACCAAAGCAGTGCCCTGACAAAGGCCAGTCTTAGCTTTTCTTCTAGTATGTCAGTACTTGCAAATGTTTATCTTTATTTTTGCTGATCTCTATGGAATTTTAGGATTGGAAGAATGAGGAAAGATGTCACTAGATACCTTTATCTCCGACTCGATCTAAAGCAAAGCATCAGAAGTGTTACACTGCAGATACAGGATAAAAACTGGATTCTGCCCAAGACTTCTTGGTTCTGCAGAAGAACTCCTGTGTCTGTTACTTATTTAACATACGTACTTACATATTGCTTATTTAATTATGATACAAACAACCTCTAAGATCATCAAGATGTGCTGTAATGTAGTAAGCCTTAAAGGAAAACACTAAAATGCCAGCTAGGTTAAGGCACAATCCTATACATGGTTAGAGAAAGAAGTCCTAAAACTCACACCATTTCCCAGCCAGCAAATAGGCCCATTTCTGCTTGAAGATGCATAGAACCATGGCCTTGTGGTGCAGCGCAATCTAGTCCATACTGTGGCAGGGCTTCCCATGTCCTTCTCTGTGCCCCTGCTGGCCCCACCCCAAAGTTGCTGCCACCCCAGCACTGAGACTTACAACAGAATCCTATGCCGGTCTAGTAAGAAGTAAATCTCACTGACTTCTGTAGTACCTATTCCCAGATTAGTGAGTACAGGATTACAGCCCACATTAGCCACATTGAGATCCTCTTGAAATCAA